TGCTAAATTTTTATATCTTCTTTTTTGACTTTTTGTGACTAATAGTATTTATAAACATTATATCTTTTTTTTTTTTTAATTATTTTTATTAAAGTTGGCTATAAGAAACCCTAAAATCTTAGCCCCCCGCTGCCCCAAACGTGAGAGCAACAAGTTAATGAAATATTTTTTATTTGAAATATGATGAAATATTTTCTTGTTCCTATTGATAATATATTGATAATATCAAACATTGGAAATTTTCTTGTTCCAATTCTCTAATCACAGTAAATTTTTTTGTTGTGAAGAATCTTTTCGTCATACAAATGAACGTAAAAAAAATCTAAGTTAAGAAATCAATTCACTAAAGCAAACTGCCAGGGTTATCTAAATTAGCAAAAGTTTCACAACATTTTGCAAAAGAAGACAAGATAAATCTGTTTATTTACTGACCAAACATCAATGCCAAATTAGCAAACGTTTCACAACATTTCGCAAAAGAAGGCGAGATGAATCTGTTTATTTACTGACCAAACATCAATACAAAGATACTGAAAAATAATTTAAAAAATAATTTTATAAGAAAAAAATTCATCAACAAGTTAACGACGTAGCTTTATTCAATATAAAGGGTGTGTAACAAGTCAACAACGAGTACAATTGTACAATACGAAGGGTGTTTAACAAAAAAGGTGTTTAACAAACATACTAGAGACTTTCATTATTATTACAACTAAGTTTTTGGGGATTTTAATAAAAGAATAAAAGGTAAACATCATGCTGGTGTGAGTTTCGTTTCGTGTTGAAGTGAGTTCGCTCTCCAAATCCAAAGCTGATGCAGGGACTACTAAAATACCGGGACTAAAATACCGGGACGCAACTTTTCAAATCAATGCGAATTCGACGAGAGGGCTGACTTTGGCGGTTAGCTGTATTACATTTTGTTATAACTTAAACAAAAATACTGATATATTTAGAATTAGATTGGAACTATAAATTTTTGTATAAATTTGTAAATTATCTTGATTATTTGATATTCTAAGTAGGTCTCCCTTTTCTTTTTTTTTCATACTAGAGTGGGTGCTTATAATTAACACGTACAATAAACACGTTAACTTAAGTGTATTATGTGTGTAGACTTGATAAAATAAATGTACAGCCACATTACCATTACACCATTGTTAATGGTAAGACTTAAGCTGCGCATATTAAAAATTTTATATTTTATAACTTAAATTAAAATAAAATTATATATAATATTGTTTTATTTTTAATGAAATAAATTTAGTTTAGTAAATTAACATAAAAGCAAAAGTAAATTTGTAAAATAATATGAGGCATGTCTAGAAAATGTTCAGTGCGAAGTTCTCGTTGAAGCTATAATAGTACTGTTTAGAAGAAAATGTCCAGCGAGAAATGTTCAAATAGTCGTGGAATCTATAATAGTACCGAGGAACGCGTCAAAGTTTCTAAGAGATAAAGAATTATGTTCAAAATGATTAGCAGCTTTACCAAATAAAATTACTTAATAATATGGGTATTTGTGAAAAACTATTTTTTGGATGCAGTAAGCATTATCCTAAAAGATCCTAATATCAAGTTTTTTATAAGTAATTATAAAAAAAGTATGAGTACTATTTTAAATCTTTACAATAAGTTACTTTAAATTTAATTTCATATTAACTACCCAGTGGGCAAGGACGTAAAAAAGACGTCTTTTATACGTCTTATACACGTTTTGGATGTCTTTTGAACGTCTTTTGAACGTTTTGTACGTCTTTTGAACGTTCAAAAGACGTCTTGTATTTGGTCCGGTGCCCACTGGGTATATCCATTGTTGGTGTGTTTATTCATGATACGCATATGTGTGTGAATTATTTTATAGATTCCATCAGATTCTGAATCAATACTCCCTGGTGTACTTCTTCAATATTATGACAAACGGGCAAAACATTTCAGTCAACAAACTTAGCAAAGATTTTAATTCCGGAAACTCATTACCAGATGTGTATTTGAAACATCAAATAATGAATCTGTCTTCTTTTTGATGAAATTTAAGTTAAACTAAGTATACGTTTTTGAGGATATAATAGACTACAGTGAAAATAATTAAAATTTGTTAAAACTATACTTTTATTTATGCTCCAGCCGATGTTAGGAAATCCAGATTTTGTTTGTTAGTACCAATCTTTAGGATTTCTGTTTTTTTTTTACAAAGTATAATTGTTCAAATCACTCAGACAGTAACTGAACTAGGCAGTGAAATTTTATGCCTTATTTCAGACAACCTTGCAACAAACTTAGTGTCTGTAGAAATTTTACTTAGAAAGTAGATATGCCATGTCTAGTCATAAATAATAATCGACATCTTGTAATACTTCATGATCCAGTGCATTTATTTAAATTAAGTAGAAATAACGGAAAAGACTGGCAAAATTCATCTAACACTAAATGGTCAGCTATTTAAAAGCTACAGGAAAGATTTGGTAAGTTTATATGACAAAGAAAAAACAATGTTATGATCTTTCATACAAAATCTTTCATAGCCCATTTGTGTGCAGTTTTGAATAAGAAAATGATAAAGTTAAATGTTAAAGTAAAAAATTGTTTACAAGGTAATAAAATATTTTTGCGTAGCTTATCCAAGTTTCTAAAACCATTATAATAGTTGTTTTGTTAAAATATTTTATAAAATCTAAATTTAAAACTAAGATCACTTTTTTTTATAGACCTATGTAAATAAAATTTTTCTAAAATTAATTTAAATGAATAAATTTCAATTAATTCCAATAGTGATATTTTTATTTAGGCTTGAACTGATTTAAGATGATATTTGTTATTTTGATATGTATGTCGCATTGATGGATACCATTTCAGAAGATAAAAAAATGCTGCCCTATCATCCTATTGCATCCAACATAAGTTTGCTTAATGTATTTCTATTCCCAATACCTTTGACACAAATGTATATGAATTTACTTTTAAACTTTATTGTTTTTATATGATAAAAATAAAAATAAATAAATTATACCAAATATGTTATATACTTTTTTTTTGTTGAAATTACGTAATGTTAACATCATTTAAAAAGAACCTATAAAATTTTTAACATGATTAATTGCTGTTAGCTCAATCTTTAAATTAATAATAAAGTTAACAAATTCAACAAAAAATAAAGAAAACGCCCCATTTATTTACAATTCCCAAAAAACCCCAAAACACCTTAAATAGTCTCAAAAAAAACTTTATGCTGTTTCAATTTTTCAACCCTTTCGTCGAAATTATATGAAATTAAAGTCTTGCGTCCCGGTTTTTAGTAGTCGCTGATGGATTGACAAAAGTTTCTAAGACATGGTTAAATAAGTTTTTAGCTAGAAATAAAAATATCAAAGAAATATATTTGGTACATATTACAAATAAAGTTCGTAAAAGCTACCCGAAACATTATTTTGGCGTTAGTTGGACGATATATACAGGGCAACAATGAGCTTCACAAGTTATGAGAAAAAGTATCGAAGAATTTGTTTACAAGAGTTTTAATGTAATTTAATCAATCCAGCACAAATAAGTTGAGAACATCAAACACTTGATAATTCAAATTCAATGTGTCGTATTGATTGAAATATTGCCAACATAAAGCTTACTTAACAAAAATTAATTAGGGTATTTTCAACTGAACACCGTTAAATTCAACACTTTTTTTAGTTAATTAATTAAAAACTACTGCAAGGAACCTTATGTGCTCTTGTCTGATTGTATTGGTATAAAGTATTGGTTATCGTTGGCATCGTTGACATCGGTATAACTCAATTTATAGAAAAAAAAGCAGGAAATGCGAAAAAGAAAAAATTTGAAAATAAATGTAAAAAAAAACCTTTCACAATTGCTATACCAGCAGTATTTTAATCAGTCAAAAGTTAGATATTCTACCAAACAAATTCAAGTATATTTAAGCTAAGAGTACACCCAAGTCTCTTGGGTGTGTTTACTGCATTAAGGAATCTCAAATGAACAAATTGGCGTTAAACTGGTACCTAAAAAAACAAAATAGTACCTAAGAAAGCTTAAAAAAGGTCTGGTACCTAAGAAAGCAAACGAGAAGTCCTGAGTAGTTGGTCAGTTATAAAATAAATTATATTGAAAAGCAAAAAAAAAAAATTCAGATAAAGAAGATTTAAAAAGAAAAAAAGTGATTTGCAACTTTGAAAATGTTATTGAATCTAAAAACTTTAAGACAAAACTCAAAGTAAGATACAGGTAATGATGTCAAGTACTAGTAAAAGTACTTCAATTCTAAGTGTCGTATGAAAATGATTGAAATAAATAACTTGGCTTCATTTAGTAAAAAAATTACAAATAAAATTATAATTTGTTAAATTGTTTTTGATTTTTATTCAAAATAAAATGACGCTGAATTTCATTGTGTTTTGATTTGCAATGTTAAAGCAATGTTTTTCATAGACAGAAAAATCAATTTTCGAAGAAAGAAAAACCAATTGGAATTTGGTATTAAAGGAATTAACACAAGAGCTATTGATGAACAACGTTTTGGTGTGACAACGTAGTGTTTAAATAATATTCAAACGAGCTTTTAAATATATGTGAAAAATGATGCGTAAAAAAGTGGTATAGATGTGATAATAGACCCGTCAGAATAAAGATGTCTGTTACGTCCGTTAATATGTCTGTTACAAGAACTAATTTGGAATAATTTAACACCATCAATTAAAGCACAAAACTTTTTACATCTGCTTCTCTAAAAGGTTTCTAATGGTCTACATTTTACAGCGGTTCTCAACAACAAGACTTTTGGTCTTCTACTAGGCTCTGCGTTCCTTTTTTTTTTATATATTAAAAACCTTCAATTTATATTTATGATGTCATTTAAGATGACTCGTCTCAGTGGTCGTAACGATTTTTTTTTTACGTTACAAGTTGAAATGTGTACCAAACTTTTTTCATTCTTATTTTTAAGTATCTTAAAATTAAATGCTTTCATATAGAATTTTTTTAAATATTACCTTGCAACGTAGCTATTTTCACCAACTTTGGTCCTTTTGTTTCAACATTATTGGTTGGGGAAGTTCGCTTTACTGTCGTCTCTTTCAATGTTTTTTCGCGATAAGGGTTATAATGAAGTTCTTCGTTTATACTTTTGTTCAGGTTTAACTTGTCTAACTTTTGTTCTAGTTCTATTGCTTCTTTTTTAAAACTATCTTCGTCATCTTTTTTACTTTCTTCTGATTTTTCAAAGGCCGGATTATTAAAATACATTTTCTAAAAGATATTTGCTATTTCTTTTTTTTCTTTCCACTAATCATAATTTACTTCATTCATCATAACACATTGGATTGATATCGCTTAAAACACAATTCACTGATATACAAATAAATTTAAAACTTTATTTGAATTATGTTATAAATCCAGCATATGTAATCGTTTGTTTAACTAACCATGCTAATATTAAAAGATATAATTAAAAAGAACATCCTTATCGGCTTTATCAAGTATTAAATTCCTATTCTTAATATTGTTTCAGCGTTGTAACCATACGTAATTATTTTCTAAAATTATTTAAGATTATTATTAGTCTTTTTTATTACCAATTAATTTATAATTTTTTCACCATTATTATTCTCTTTAATATTTAAATCGTTGTTAGATTTGCTTTGATTCTACCGTTGCAGGCTAGGAAGAAAAAATTGTCGAGTATTAGAAACAAGTATTTTTTCGAGTAACTTGAGTTATTTTAATGATTTTTCAAGCAATTAAGATTGTTTTATAAGTCTTTTGTTTTGTATTTTTTATTTATTTATTTTTTATTATTATGTAGAAGAGATACTTTAAAAGTAACAAATATTAAAAGCATAAAAAAATATTATTTTTAATTGTTTGAATTAATAAAAACAAAAATATATTAAGATAAGTTAAAATAAGTCACTTAATTGAAAGTTGCTTAATAAAAAAAAAACTCGAAATCTTTTTAAATTCAGAACAAAAACATATTACCAACAAAGTAAATGACATAGTTAAAATCTATTTATACAATAATAACTTTAATAATATTATTGTTGTATTTCTTATTGTTCTTAATATAACAATTGTTTTTTACTATTTTATTTACAAAAACACGGCAGTGATGAAAATACCGTTTTTTTTGCAAGTAATTGATTTATTTTTTTACTTAGTTTTTTATTACGACCAAGGAGACTACTACAATTAAAGATGCTTTTTGTTTATAGTTTTTAATTACTCTTATGTTGTTGCAAACTTTCTCTTTACACTTTAATTCCAAAACGCGAACCTGAACATGACCGCTTAAAACATTAGCCTGAACATGACCGCTGAAAAGACGAGCCTGAATATGATCGCTAAAAACACAAGCCTGAACATGACCGCTGAAAACACGAACCTGAACATGACCGCTGAAAACACGAACCTGAACATGATCGCTAAAAACACAAGGCTGAACACGACCGCTGAAAAAATGACCGTTGTGTTGAAAAACAAGTTAGGCATTTATCAATAAGCGATGTATATTATTATTACTTGTATATATTTGAATTGATTTTAAAATGTTCATTGCTTCAATAAAATGACTTCTTTGCAAATGATTTTAGGATTCTAACAACCCTACATGCTTTCTTCTTGCTCTCTTTGGAAGAGATAGTCCTGATAGAACCTTTCACCCTGCTCTTCGCTGTATGCACCAAGATTTTCAGGAAAGTAGTCAACGTGGAAGTCCAAAAAGTGCAACTTGACACTCATGCGGCAACCCAAAGCTTGAAATTTGGCTACCATGTTCTCAACAAAATTGTTGACAACATTTTTGAAGGCGTTCCAGTCTTGCAGGTCAACTGCCCAGTGAGCACCAGACCAAAAAAAGACGTCTTTTGAACGTTCAAAAGATGCCTAAAACGTTCAAAAGACGTTCAAAAGTGTCCAAAACGTGTATAAGACGTTGAAAAGACGTCTTTTTTACGTCCGTGTCCACTGGGTGTGGCCAATTTAGATAAAAACTCCTCATCATTCATTACTTTTCTGATCTAAGGTCCAACAAAGATACCTGCAATCAATTTTGCTTCACTTAAATGTGGAAATTTGTTTGACAAATATTGAAATCCAGAGCCAGTATGGTCCATACTCTTGACAAAAGCTTTCATTAACCCCAATTTTTTATGGAGTGGTGGAAGGAGAACTCGACGTGCTTCTACTAAAGTCTGTAATTTGACACTGTGACTTCCTGGAGTGAATCCTTCTCTCGCTGGCCAAACTTTTTTGGCATATTGCTCAGAGTCTGCTCTGCTATCCCAGAGGCACAAAAAACATGGATATTTTAAGTACCTCTTTGGAGTCCTTATGATGGCTATGACCTTCAAATCTCCACAAATCAAACACTTGTGCTGATCATAATTCAACGAACTGAGCAACAGTTTCATGTTTTCACACGTCTCTTTTAGTGTTACCGAGTGTGCCACTGGAAGTGATGATACTTTGTTTCCATTAAATAGAAGGACTGCCTTTATACTGTGCTTTAATGAGTCAATAAACAATTTTCACTGATTAGCATCGTAAGCAAATCCCATAGATGTGACAAGACTTTTGATATAACAATTAATATAACAATATAACAATTTTTGCTTACTTGAAAAAAACTGTACAAATTCTGTCTCACAATATCAGTACACACTTACGCTAGTATCAGGAGTGAGAAGGTTTCGTTCTTGTAAACGGGATGCAAGCAGTTCAGCTGATTTTGGTGCAACATCTGCATTAACATCAGGATCAAGAACATCACTACTGTCTTTAGAGCTTGAGCTATTAACACTTTCAATATCATCCAGCTGAGTTGGGGGAGCGGGCACAGGAATGTTTTCACAGTATTCTGCAGACCTCAGGACTAACAATACATTGGGATATAAAATCTTGTGTTTTTGTTAAATTCAACATAAAAAAACAACAAAAGATATTCCGCCAACCTTTGAAAAAACTTTCAATACAGGGATCCAGCAACGTGGCCTAAACTAACGGACAACATAAGATGCTTTTTGATTCAACATGGGCCAGAGCAAGAAAGAAGACAATTTTTCCATACACGCTGTGTGATTTTGACAACAGAAAGCGACACCAGCATAAAATGGTATGAAAAAATTCATCCCAATGGTAAAAAATTTGTTCGCCATTGTTTGCTGTACAGTAATAAAAAAGATTTTTCCTTTTTATTACTGTACAACAACCAATAATATATATTACGTATTGCATTGATTATGTATACGTATATATACCAACTTGTAAATTTTTATATTTACGTTATACAATACGTTATTTTTATATTTAAATTATATTACATAGTTAATGATTTTAAAATCACAAGAACATAGTGAAGGAAAGGAAACATGTGAAGTAAAGAAAAAACGTGTTTTCACATAACCATGACATGAGTTTAATGCAGTATTAAGTATTTAATGCAGCCTGCAACGTAGGACCTGCATTTTGAACAAATCAATATCCCCCTTTCTTTTTTAGCGTAAACTATATATATATATATATATATATATATATATATATATATATATATATATATATATATATATATATATATATATATATATATATATATATATATATATATATATATATAATAGTATATACATGAATACTAATTTTTACTCAAAAAAACTATCAATTGATGTAAGCAGTTAGAAATTTATGGTTAGAATTTTTTAGAAAATTCTTTTTTCAGAATTAATTATTTACTATAAATTTCAGTAAATTCAATAATAACAATAGACACAATAACTTAAATTTATAGCCTCTTTGCATCATGAAAAACAGATAATGGGCCACTAGGGTGGTCCATGTTAAATTTTAATCGGGGTTTTTACCTGTGATAACATTTTATCTAAAAACGCTAAATACAAAAAATTTCGAAACGATTTTTAGATCCCCCATAAAACATTGGAAGTCAGAATAACGGATTGCGAAAGTGTTGCGCAACATTTTTATCCACTAATTGCTACATATCCACTATTTGTACTTATCCCACAAAAATTGATTAAAATATTAATAAGTATACAACTAACAACGTTAATAAAATGTTATTTTTTTGTTTGTTGAAAATTTACTTCGATTGATTATTTTGAGTAATATGCTCCTCTAAAGCTTTTTCAATGCTTTTCCACAATTCTAGCAAGTTGTTCTCTCTCTTCTGGATCAAAACATTTGTCTTTGATGTCTCCTGTAAGCTTGATACATCGCAGTGCAAATATCATTTACACAAGAAAGATTGTATACAATTTTTTTTCAGCGTTTAAGTTCTCGAATTTGTTCCAATGCTCTGATGAAACGTTCTGTGGGTCTGTTTAATTTTAACAGATGAAAAAGCAACCATGACTTTTGCCTACTTTTTTCTTTTTTACGCAAAATAATAATTGGAGGTTTCGGTTTAAAAGGAGGGAGTACTTTTGGCCTTGGAAAGTTTATAAGTTTCTGACACATCATAGTCTTTTCTGCATAACTCACAAAGTAGTCAAACGAGGAAAAGACTACTAGCTCCTTATACAAGTATCCCAGGTGTCGTTCAACAGACTTGATGATTCCTTGTGCAATTTCAAGGTTAATTGATTTAAATTTCTTCATTAAATAAAAGAAATGACAGTCATTAGGTGGAGCAACAGCAGTAATAGCAGATTGAAGAAAGTACTTTACGTAAAAAAAGCAAATTAACTCGGCTTCTCTCAACCGTTTTGCTTCTTCGTTATTAAGTTCAAAATTACGAGATAGTAGAAATATTTTTGTATAATAAATGGGTTTTAACATCCAACTTGCATGATGATAAGAATCTGCATACCGAATGCGGAAACCTCTTTTAATATGTTCACCGAAAAAAAATAGAATAAACTCCACTAGTTCTCGATAGCCCTTTTTTGAGGAAATGTTTTTTTCTTCAATCATTCCATAGACCATTAGTTTACTTCAAGTGCTTGTTGTAATAAAAAACTAGTCTAACCATGAGGCCAGTCCTAGCCTACTAAGTTCTTTTATATTCTTGTTAAGGTTATGAAATTCTTTCTTGATCCTTTCAAACAGCTAAACTCTTGGTGATTTTCTTGGTGACAATTAGGATTGGATGTTGGTTTTATAAAGAGCTCTGGAATATGATGTCTACATCCAAATCAGAGTAGAGAACGACCAATTTGCTTTTTAATTAGAATTGCAGCTCCATTATACGCTCCACTATTTGCTGATGTTGCATCGTAGTCAAATGCAATAGCAGATGCTTTTAATTGCCATTTATCAACTAAGTTCATCACTGAACAACATTGCGTTTCACCAGACCCGTCAGCTATATTAGGAATATCTAGCAATTTAGGAGGTGGAATATACAGCAAAGTCGCTCTTTCTTTTTTCTAGAAGCTTGCTTGAAAGTTTTTCCATCTCAATGAACTTCC